CGGGGCTGTGCGGGGCGCGTTGGCCCCTGGGTGGGCTAGGCCCCAGGGGCTTATTCTCTGCTCTCATTTTCTCTGCCTGAAAATAGCATTTTCTATTTTTGGTCCCTAGCTGAGAACAAAACTGTTTGTTGGTGAGAAGTTAGGGCAGGACACCTTCTGACTACCTGTTACTCAAATGTGTAGCAAACCCACAGGGTCCCGCTGACCTCCGGGAGCCAGGGACCCTGATTCAATAAGAAGAGGTTCACTGGGAGAGATTAATTTTGAGCAAAGGAGAAAAAAATTGTACACAGCCCGAAAAAACTCATTCGCAGTGAATGAACCCAGCCCCTTGTCCCTGGAGGAGCAGCGTCCTGGCTTGGTCCGGGCCGCCCCAGCCTGTGCACGCTCTGGAGGGCCATGTGTCGCCTGCCGCTGTTGTCAGGACTTCCAGATCAGGAAAGCACTGCCGCCTCTCCGTCCGCCTGCGCAGCGTGGGCTGAGCACGCAGGGGCCAGCCAGTGCCTGGGGCTGGGCCGAGGTGGGTGTCCCCGGCCTGGCTAGGGCTTGGCCTCCTGTGTGCCGCCTCCCCTTCAGCCGCACCTGTGCTGTCCTGGTAGCTGGCCGGGCGCTGCCCCCTGTGCGGGTGGAGCCCCTCTTCGGGGTGCCGCAGGGCCCTGTGCAGCAGGCTGTGTCTGTGGTGGGTCCGGTGTCGGGAACGTTCGCTCAGGTCTGCCTGCAGAGACCGGGTGGCTCCGTGCCCAGGGCCTGGGCATTGCTGTCAGGCAGCCCTGGGCTCCATTTCCAAGTTAGGGAAACTCTGAGCAAGTTATTTGGTCTGTTCAGGATCTGCTCAGGATTAACATCATCTGTACATAAAGGTGGCGTTAGTAGCTCACGTATGGGCCACTGTTACCATGATGAAACGCACCAAGCTTGGGAGTGGTGCCGGTTACCCAGTAAGGACAATTACAGTCACGCCAGCCGCCTTCCCGCAGCCCGTGAGAATCGCATACAGCTGCTGACAGGTAGAGAAAACACAGGTGGCACCGAGGATGCAGGTGCACAGGGTCGCCCTTGCTTGGCAGACGTGGCGCTCCTGGTTGGGTGTGTCTGCAGCCGGAGCAGAGGCGGTGGTGGCGGTGGACGAGGGCCTAGCCGCCCTGCTTGTCGCCGGCTACGCCATGTCACCCCCTGCACACTGCTGGTGTGCGGAGACCTGGCCTCTGATCCAAGCCCTGCCTGACAGCAGCGGGTCCTGTGCTGCTCACCGAAGCCCGTGTCTTTTTTCTGTCGGTTTTGCAGCACAAAGGGTAATTTGGAGACACAGAGCTGGCTGTGTCTTTCTTCTACGTTCAGTGTTCAGAGGCGCTGCTGCCCACAGGAGAAAGGTATAGATGTAGGTTATGCTAGTTCTGAAGAGGGGAGCAGTGTTACCCGCTGAGGCTCGTCTGACGGGCATTCCCATTGGAAGTAGCCATCTCGGCGTGGCAGGATGCCGCCTGTCTCTCGCATCTGACGTGGCCTTAGGCTCGGGAATACTGGGGCTAAGTGTCGTTAGCCCTGTGTCCCAGCAGGTTTACAAAGAGCAGCTTCTCCATGGCCCCAGGGGCTGGGGGTGCTAGGGGCAGAGCTGTGAGCCTCAGCTGCTGCTCCTGAAGGCCTGCGGTGGGGAAGCCCAGGGAAGCCCCAGGCTGCTGTAACTTGACCCTCGGTGGGTGTCGGGCCCTGCCACCTGCAAACACAGGTTCAGCGTGGCCAGCTCGGAGAGGGCTGACGGGGACCTGGGGGCCGTGCAGGGGTGAGCCGGATGCGCAGCAGCACCTCCTGGCCAAGGCAGCTTCCCGCGCTGTAGTGGCTGGCTGGAAGCTGCTCCAGCAGGGGGCCTTGGTCCCTGCTCAGGGTGGCAGCCTGTCTGGCTGTGCGAGTACTGGCTTCGCTCTAGGCTCACTGAGGCTGTGGCCTCCTCCGCTCCCGCCTATGGTTCCCTGACTATGGGAGCCCACCGCGTCCACACAAATGTACAGTTAAAAACAGAAAGGCCAGGGTCTCGCCTGAGAGGGGACTGGGCCGGAGGCAGCCAGACCTTGGCAGGCGACTGCAGTGTGGGTGGCTGGACACAGGAACCGGAGAGCTGTAACTGAGAGCTGTGCAGCAAGGGAGGAAGTGCCTGAGGAGGGGGTGCAGGCCGGGAGGGGCGCCCTGGTCAGGCCTGTCTGGCATGGGGCCTGGGAACCCGGGAGCAGGGAGAGGGCTGGAGGGAAGTGCCGGCCGGACGCGCAGTGTGAGGCTGCGGGGAAAGGGGCAGAGCGAGGGCAGGGCCAGGGGCATCCAGCCTCTGGTGCTGTCCCCGTGCCCCAGGCTGCCCTCTTGCCGTCAGAAAGCAAAGCCAGTTGGCGGGGGGGGGGGTGCGCAGGGTTCATTCCCAGGGAGTCCTGAGAACCCTGAAGATGAGATCGCCAGTGGAGGAAGCGGCAGGCGCACCCTGCCGGGAGGCTTGTGCGGAGGGGAGCCTGGAGGTGGGGAGCAGCCCCTGCGTGGTTTCCGCAGGGGACGGCGGTGGGCAGCGCCTCCTCCTCCACCTCCTCCACCTCCTTGCTGAGGACCCTGGGTGCACTTGCATGGCGCAGGCTGAGGTGCTGGGGATGGCCGCACAGCCAGGACCTGGAAAGGCCACGGGTTAGAAAGCCTTTGATCTGCCCACGGAGCACATTTTTCTCCGTGACACCCAGGAGGGTCCTCTTCCGTGGAAAGTGTGAACTGTCACTTCCAGGGGCGGGACTTGCTCCGAGTCACGTTGGCTGGCAGCGTGCAGCCTCCCCACAGAGGACCCTGTTGCGTGCCCGGGGAGGGGGTTTCCTGAGGTCCGTGCTTTGTGGGGCCGAGAGCTCCGGCACGGCGGAGGGGCAGGAGGGCCAGGCCCGCGAGGAAGCGCTGGCGCCGTGCAGGAGAGGGGCACGCCAAGGCATTCTGCACGGGCAGGAGGAGAGCGCTTCGGAGACAAAGGGCCGCTTGAGTGGGCTCCAGGGGAGGGGAGGCCGCAGGGGACACGCAGGGGGCGTCGGGAATCGGAAGGGAAGGCGGGGACAGAAGTGCAGCGGTGCCCCCTCCCCACCAGCTTCCCAGGACCAGGGCAAGTTTCACTGTGTGTGGCATGCGCGTCCCACCTATTTACTGTTGATTTCTCATTTAAATTGCTTCTGGAAAAAATAAAAGCTGTTTGAAAGGGAGGTTAGGCCCGGTGTGAATGGCACATTAGTGGCACTGTGTGGCCTTAACCAGTCGGCCTCTGTGCTGGAGCTCATGGGCCGGGTTGTCACCACCCGCTTCACCCGGCCGCGTGCTCCAGTGCCACCAACACGCGGCCTGTAGTTGGAGCTGCACTGCAGGTATTGAGGCGGCTGGGATGCGCCCTCTGTACGAGGTCAAATGTGGACACACTCAATGTCGCCACAGTTCCCTCCTCCGGGTCCCCCCCTACTGGAGTCCCCTCCTACTGGCGGCCTTGGTTCTCCGCCGAGGGGGTGGGGGGACCTTCCAGGCCTCTTTCCTGCAGTGTTGCCTGGTTCGTCCTGTTACGGTTTTTAACAGAAGTGGTAACATTTTGCGATCTGGAAGAACATAAATCTTGGGAAGTTATTTTAAGAAGCGAAAGCAGCAGTACCTGCTCGCAGTTTGAAAAGTGTCACAGTACAGTTGGGGCGGGTGCGGGGCGGTGGTGAGAGGATGGGGGTGGTGCTCTGCTTCTCCGTCCGGACGTTGGTCACGTGTGTTCAGTTTGTGAGAAGGCATTGAGTTGTGTGTTAACGTTCACGTGTAGATGTGAGTATAGATGCAGGTTATGCTTCATAAAGAGCCACAGGTAGTTTTTTAGTTATTTAGGGTCTCGCTGTGCAGTTCATGCCGGCCTTGAGCTCACTTTGTAGCCCAGGCTGGCCTTGAACTTGCAACGATCCTCCTGCCTCAGCCTCCTGAGTGCTGGGATTCCAGGGGTGCGCCACCACGCCCGGCCAGGTATTTTTAAAAAACGCGTATTGCAGCACAAAGGGTAATTCGGAGACACAGAGCTGGCTGTGTCTTTCTTCCACGTTCAGTGTTCAGAGGCGCTGCTGCCCACAGGAGAAAGGCCACGCTGCCCGCTGGAGGCCCCCCGTGAGCCGTGTCTCACTTCCCCTGCAGCGTCGTCTTCGCTCCTTCCTCCCCTAGCTGACTGGTGTCCGTTCCTCCGGTCCCCCTGTAGTAAGCCCACCCCGCAACAGCCCTCGCCCGAACAGCAGCCTGGGCGGTGGCCCCCTGCTGGCAGCACAGTGGGATGCGCCTCGAGGGCAGGTGCCAGCTGGGTGCTGGAGCCAGGCTTTCCGGGCCTTCTGGGCTCCCTGGGGCTCTGGCCACGCCCGGTACTTGTGCCAGGCCTCAGCACTTGTACCGCGGAACAGAGCCTGCGCTGCCGAGGAGGCGGGGGGCGGCTCGCGCCATTGCTGGCTGCGGGCATGCTCCTGAGGGCCTCTGCTCTCACCCGCTGCTGGTTTCCTCCCGTTGCCCTGGCCAGCCTGCTGGTGTTCAGTTGATGTGTGGATACTGTGCTAGGGAGGAAGGAGCGGTGATGGACCCGCCACGTGAGGATGTACAGGGACACAGGCTCCCCGGGGCCCTGGGACGCACTGGGAGAGCTGGGCGCTCACCGCAGGACCACAAAGGTGCACGCTGGGCATGGTCCCTGGCAGCAGGGCGCGCTTCAGGGGTGCAGCAGGGCTGTCAGCGAGCAGGAAGAGCAGGGCAGTCTCAGTGGCTCAGATACCATCTCACGCAGCCTTCCTGCCCTACTGCACCCTCCGTCTCTTGTCTGCTGATCTCTGACTACTCCAGGAAGAAGAGAACCACAGCCTACTGGCTTTCACCCAAGAGGGCAGCACCTTTGCCCCTTCCTGGCTGGGCTGCCTCTATTCAGATGCCACAGAAAGATTAATACTAGCTGCGTGCTTTAGGTCACGCTCCTCCCCCCTTTTTGCCCCTGTTTGCAGACAGTGCTCCAGTAGACAAGCTGGAGGACTTCATCAATAACATTAACAGCGTCTTGGAGTCCTTGTACATCGAGATTAAGAAGGGCGTCACCGAAGATGACGGGAGACCCATTTATGCGCTGGTACGTGCACAACAGCGCCCTCTAGTGGCGTTTCTGAGGACCTGGCACAGCCAGTGGACAAGTGGCCCATCTGTGCAGGCTCTGCCGCTGGGGAGGGGGTGGCCAGCGTTCAGTTAAAATACCAGGTCTGATTGTTGTGTCGACTGATTTTTTTTTAGGTGAATCTTGCTACAACTGCAGTTTCCAAAATGGCCACGGATTTTGCAGAGAATGAGCTGGATCTCTTCAGAAAGGCTGTAAGTGGCGTGGAGTAACCCCCACTGCCTGGCGGCTGGGCGTCTTACGGGATGCTTCTGCCTCCAGCATTAGACAGAAGCCGTCGTCTTGGAGGGTCAGCGGGAGGTGCAGGCCGTCGCTGCTGTGTGGGAAGGGGGGCTGCTTGGGGCGTGGCCGGCATTTCTGCCTGGCTGCCCAGAACGCCCCTGGGAGCGGCGGTCACACTGGGGACCGGCTCCTGGCTCTGCCCCGTGCTGCTGATTGAGCGCACACGCCTGCTCCGCCGCGCTTCGGGGCGCTCGCTCAGTCAGCACCCGGCGAGCACAGTGGCCCTGGCCCTGAGCGCATTGCAGTCACTGGGGGTGCACGGAGCCCACTCCTCCCCACCCCGGGATGTGCTGAAGCTGAATCTGGGGGTCCAGGTCCCTAATTTAGACTCCGTGGGGGCGGTCAGCAGCGCAGGTTGAGGACCGGGCTCTGGAGGAGGGACTCTCATGTTCCTGCCAGGAAGCCCACCTCCCCATTGGCCTGTGCTCGCTCTGCCAGGCCCTGCATCCTCAGGGCCGTGCAGCTCCTGCGGTCTCCTGCTGGCACCCCCACCCTGCCCCGCTGCCTTCCCAGCCCCCAGCCTGAGAGAGGAGAGGCACCGCCACCCCTCCAGTCGTTCACTCGACCTCCTCTCCTTCGGGTGGGCGGCAGGAGGCGGGGCGGACCCCTCTGGGTCTGGGACGTTGGGTTACTTCTCTGGGAGGACCTCACGGGAGTGACCCTTAGTCCGTAGCGCAGGACACGCCCATGGCCCTCTGACGCACAGTACGACACTGTCTCTATAGGGCTGCACCAGGGTGCAGAGCCGCCTGGGGTGGGAGCAGTTTTGCTGCATCCCTGCTAGAAGTGGGCTGATGGCTTCCAAGGCTTTCTGCTGATTTAAGAGAGGAACGCGGGGCCTACTCTCTTCCAGCTGGAGCTGATTGTTGACTCAGAAACTGGCTTTGCATCTTCCACAAACATTTTGAATCTGGTCGATCAACTGAAGGGCAAGAAGATGAAGAAGAAGGAAGCTGAGCAGGTGCTGCAGAAGTTCGTGCAGAGCAAGTGGCTGATCGAGGTACGCCGGGCCCCGCCTTGGTTCGGAACTCCTCCACACCGCAGTCTCCAGTGGTGGCGGCTGAGCCGGGCCCTCTTGGTGCTTCTCTGTGGCCCTGCGAGGAGGCCCTGGGTCCCCCAGGTACTCACACAATTGTGCAAGATGCTACAGCTGGAAGTGGCAGAGCTGGGAGCTGCGCCCAGGTTTTCCAGCTGCAGGGCCCCTTAAGCCTGTGGCGCAGACCGTGAGGCAGGGTAAGCCGGTGTGGGGCACGGCCCTGCGTCTCCCTGGGAGGAGTCAGTGTGCCTCCCGGGCCGGGGAGCGGGAGTGAGGTAGGAGTGAGGCCGGTAGTGCCACGCCACGGCACGCGGAGCGGCCCGCGGCCCTGCTGTGCTCGTCGTGGGGTGATGCCAGCGCTCTGTTCTCCGGGGCCGGGGGCCCTCCCTGGAGAGGGGCTGAGGAAGCCCGGGAAGGACAGGCTGAGAGCAGGCCTGCCGATGGGAGAAGCCCTGGGGTCTGCTCTCTTTCCAGGAAGGCAGCACTGTTTCCAGGAAACGCGGGCCTCGCTCCGAGTGGGCCCAGCTGCCTCACTCCGCCCCCTGCGGGGCGCGGCGTGTGTGTCGGATGGGCTGTGCTGGCCTCAGCGTCGTCCCGGGCCTCGGACCTGGGGCTGGGGGCCGCTGCTTGTGACAGCAGCCCTTCGCTTCCCGCCAGGGCAGCTGGCCGCCGGCTCCTCTGTAGGGCTCTGAGCTGTGCCTGTGGGAATGGGGCGGCCACCCCTGCAGTCCTCCCCGGATTCGGACCCCGGGGTGCCTGTCGGGAGGCAGGGGCAGGAAGGGGCCCGGGCAGGGAAGGTGTGGGCAGGGCTGGGAGCTCGGCATGTGCGTCGTGTCCGTGAGCGCGCCTGCTGCCCCGGGAGGGGTGCTGTGAGCTTGGGTTTTAGCTGACCGTGCGCAGTGGCCTGGTTACACTGGCACCCTGCCGGTGGCACAGCCCATGGTCAGGCCCAGAGTCGGTGGACTTGGCAGCAGGGAGTGTTCTCAGGCCGCTCAGGTCGTGACCAGCGGTTCTCCCTGGGGTGTCTGTGGCCTGGGCCAAGCAGGATTCTTAAGGACCGGGGTTAGGGCTTTGTACGCCCCGCCGCAGATGCTCCGTCAGGCTTGCGCAGTGGGCGGCTACACGGGTGGGTGGCGTGGCACGAGAAATACTGGTCATTGCAGGACGATGGCCCTTGGCAGCCCAGGCAGGCTGGTGCCAGAGACCCCAGGGGTGACTCTGAGAAGGCGGGGGCACTGCAGGGCTTAGCGTGCCGACGGGCCCTGGCAGCGCTGGCAGGACTCTCCTTGCTTGCGGTTTGGAGAGCAGTACAGGCCGGGGACTGGGGGCCTGTTCTTCCCAGCTGGACGCCAGGTCAGGCCAGGGTTGCCGGGTGCTGTGGCTGCCTGGCTGGGGGCGGGGGCCGTGCCTGGCCCCGAGACCCTGCACAGAGTCCCTGGGTGCTGCTGACTGTGAAGTCTGAAGTGGAGTCTCAGTTCTCAGAGTTGTAAAAATGAAAGCGGGCAGCGCCCGGGCCAGGCAGGTAGGGTTCCCTCCTCGGTGGCGCCATCTCCTGGCGAGGCCTGGGCCGTGGGCCTCCCGCTGCCAACCCCCAGGCAGGCAGCTCCTTGAATCAGACGTAGCAGCAGAAGGGGTACCGGGCTCACGCCCCAGTTCAGTAGTTGATTGTGACGAAACAGAAGCACCTGGCGAGGCCCCGTGGCACCTGCTCCATCCTCCTTGCTCCAGCTCCTCTCAGTGACGGCAGAGGGCCGGCCGCACAGGCAGCGGCTCTTCTGGTTCCTGGGCTGCAGAGAATTTCCAGTGTGCCAAGGCACGGGAGCAGGAGACCCAGCTTCCTCGAGCAGGCCTGCCACCCGCGCTGCGGTCAGCGCCCGCCCGGTCCTGTCCGACGCCCTCCCACCTGGTCTGCAGAGCGAGCCCGGGCCCTGTGCGGGCCCCGTGGCAGTGCTGCTTCCTGGCCGGGCCGTGCGTGGGGGCGCGATGGGAGGGAGGGGGAGCGGCGGACGCAGCACTGGGACGACGGCCTCTCCTAGCCGGGGCTGCCGGCCCCCCTGCTGAGGTCCGGGACGGTGCTTTGTTTGCAAGGCTCCTCCACACGTGGAGGGATCACGTCCGTCAGACACAGCAAGGCCCTGAGAAAATTGAGGGGGCAAGGGAACCTTCACCTCCGTGGCCTTTTAGGTCTTTGCCTCGGTTTTCCCTGCTTGGAGGTCTTTCCAGGGGGCGTCGCTGACACGGGTTGCCTGGCGTTGGTGAAAGTCCAGTGGCCGGGAGCATCCAGCCCTTGTGTCTTCCTGGGCTTTGGGCTGTGGGACTCCAGAGGGACCGAGGCCCTGAGCTGGACAGGCCCTGGCTGAGGACGCCCGCCGCGTGTTCTGTCCCTGCAGAAGGAAGGCGAGTTCACACTGCACGGCCGGGCCATCCTGGAGATGGAGCAGTACATCCGGGAGACGTACCCCGATGCCGTGAAGGTCTGCAACATCTGCCACGGCCTCCTCATCCAGGTATGGGGTGGAGCGCGCGCTCTGGTGCCCCCCGCCCCCCGTGGCTGACCAGGCCGTCTCCGTGGACAGGGCAGGGCCCTCCCGCAGCCACCCGCAGGGCGTGCCACGTTGCTGCCTCAGTTCCAGCCCACGGGCTCTCCCTCCGTTCAGTTTCCTCCAGAAAGGCCCCTCCGAGTCTTGTGCAGCTGGCATTACCGAGGCAGCTCTGTGAGGAGTGTCTTCCGCGTGGATTGTTCTGAGCCGTCTCCTCTACACTGCTCGGAAGGCTTCACAGCCATCGGGCTGGTGCTGGCCGTTGTGTTTCCTCCTGTTTAATTTTAACTTTACATGACCGCAGTCTCTTGATGGGCCTCTCACACGCATGCCTGGGCACCCAGGGGCCGTGCCCGTGGGTCAGGCTCCTGGAAGTGTGATGCTGGGCTAAGTGCGCTCGCTGTCGTTTATGATCCATGTCCCCATTTGCCTCCTGCCATGCTGTGGCCGTGTGTGCCCCGTGGGGTCTGTGTGCAGGGAGCCGAAGAGGTCTGGGCTGATCTGTCAGTAGTCTTCAGCTGCTTCTGCCTGTGTTTATATAATATATTCAGAATCCCAACCCAGAGCATTCACACTGAGCTATATCCATAGCCCTTTTTATTTTTTATTTTGAGGCAGGGGTCTGCTTAAGTTGCGAAAGGACCCAGCAACAGGCCGTTAGGTACCTTCAACTTCTTTTTTTTTTTTTTTTTGAGGAAGGGTCTCACTATAGTGCAGGCTGGCCTTGAACTCACCTATGTAGCCCAGGTGGGCCTCGAGCTCATAGAAATGCTCCTGCCTCAGCCTCCAGAGTTCTGGGATTATAGGTGTGCTCCACCATACTCCCCAGATGTGCCCAGAATTCTTTCCTAAGACCCACTGCTCTGAGGACCTGGGGATCATTAGCAGTATTAATGAGACTGCAGAGCCTGCTGCCCATCTCTGCAGCTTCCCTGCGGGTGGTGAAACTCCCTTCAGGGTGGGTGCGAGCTCCCCCTTGTTGGGCCTCTTCCAGGGTCAAAGCTGTGAAACGTGTGGCATCAGAATGCACTTGCCCTGCGTGGCCAAGTACTTCCAGTCCATCCCCGAGCCGCACTGCCCCCACTGCAACGACTACTGGCCCCACGAGATTCCAGGTGCGGGGGTTGGGCTGGCGGGACCAGCAGCGCCCTCGGGCCTGTGGGCCAGGGCCAGGGCCGCACTGCAGCAGCGGGGACCCCGACTTGCCCGGGTGGGTCCCAGCTGTGAGCTGTCTGCATGAGGCGCTCTGCAGCGCTCTCAGGACGGGGACGCCAAGGCCGTGTCCGCAGCTCCATGCCTTCTTCCCGAAACCGGGGCTCACGGGGCGCGGCTGGGGCAGAGGCGGGGTGGGGGTGGTGCAGAAATGGGCAGAGTCTTGGGCCTGGGAAGCAGCTTAGGTGGGGGCGGCTGCTCCACGCCGCCAGCCTCCCTGCTCACCGTCTTCCCGCCTGTTCTGTGCGCAGAAGTCTTCGACCCCGAGAAGGAGCGGGAAGCTGCTGTCTCCAAGCCCAGCCGAAGGTCCCTGCGGTCCCGGCAGCATTAGCAGCGTCCTGCAGGAGGGCGGCCCCTCCGGAGCCCTTGCGGGCAGGGGGTGCCACGCGGCACACGCACACACACGCACACACACACACACACACACACACACACACACACACACACGCTGCGCCCCCGCCCCGCCTGTGCTCCCTGTAGGCAGGTCTGGAATAAAGGCATGCTGAGCGCTTGCGGGCGTGCGGTTTGTGTCTGGCCACCCCTGCTTGGGCTGACGTGGTAGCGGAATCCTTGGCTTGGGTTGCAGCTGGGAAGCTTGCAGGCTCCTACTGTACGCCGGCAGCCTAGGGCAGCGCTGTCCTTGTCAGAGGGCTCTGGCCTCAGCCCCAGCCTCTGGTCAGGGACTTGGTGTCCCGGCTCCCCGCGGTCTGGATCCTCCTCTGGCCCAGGAAGCGAGAGGCCCGAAGGCAGGGTGACCTGGTCTTCACCTAGCTGCCCCAGCCGGGAGCCCGAGTCGGCCTAGATGCCCCCTCCCCTGCCGGCCCTCCTGCCTCGGCTGTCCCCCGCATCCTGTCCCGTCCACCTGCTGCGGGGCCCCTGCTGGATCCGAGCCCTCACCACTCGAGGCGGCTGCTCCCAGCACCCGTTCCTGCCACACGCCTGCGCCCTTCCTGCAGGCAGGGCAGCGTGCCCCACCCTGGGCCACAGGGACGGCCGTCTCTCCCCCCACGCCTCCCGACTCTACCTCCCGATGGGCCCGGCACCCTCCCCTCTGCCTTCACCCTTTCCCGCCACCCCTGCCGCCCGCGGGTCCCGGGTCTCCCTGCAGTGCCTTGTCCTTCCCGTCCCTTGGCTGCCTCACCTGCCACCTGCTGTGGTCCCCTGGCTCCTCCAGCTTGTCAGGACCCTTTGGTTGTTACAGAAAAGTGCACTGGAACGGCTCACACAAGGGCAGTCTCGGCCGCGAGCTCCTTCAGGAGGGCTTGGGCTCGTGCAGTGGTGGCAAACCTGTGGCTCGCACGCTGCCGTGGCTCTGTACCCCCGAAGGCCCTAAGAGCTCCCCAGCCCTGTCCATGGCTGCAGTGACATCACCGGGCAGTCACATTCCTGCCCCAGCTCTCCTCTCCTCGCGCTGGCTTCTTGTTCAGGCCGATGGCGGGGGTTTCCCAGAAAATCCAGCCACTGTCTTCATGGGTGCAAAATGGATGCTCTGCCTCCAGGTCTCACACTCACATCCCACTGCTAAAAGGAAGAAGGGGTCTCATTCAAACCCCCCAGCCCCACCCCAGCACGCGGCTCACGGCTCTCAGCTCTGGCGAGGACGCTCGCGGAGGTACGGATGGAACTCCAGCTGGCACTGGGAAATCCAGGCTGTCCTGAGCCCGTGGGTGGGATGCCGGTTCCTCCCATGCCCCGTGCTGGGTTCCCTGAGCAAACTGGAGATGCTGTTTCCGGAGCGGGGAGTGACCTGTGGATGTGGGGTGGGCAGGCATTCCCCATCCTGGTCCACTCTAAAAACACAGTGGCGCTGTACGTGGGGTGTGGTGGACGAGTGACACGGGCTGGCTGTGGACATCCCTCCCAGACCTGGTCCTGTCCCCTGAGCCTCAGCGCGCCCGCACCCACCCGCAGGGGTGCGACCCAGCCCAGCAGGGCGTATCTGCAGGGTGCCCAGGAGGCCAGTGGCCAGGCAGGCAGCAGAGACCTGGCCAGTGCTTCACCAGCAAAGGGGTTGCTTGGGAGGTGGCTCTCAGAGGCGCCAGGCGGAACTGACGGAGACGAGGAGGGCCTCGGGGCTCCGTCTGGATGGTGAGAGGTCGCAAGGCCCCGCTGCAGTAGCGAGTCCCCTCCGGCTCCCCTGCCTCCAGCGTCCCCTCCAGCTGTCGCCGGCAGCAGCCACCCTTTCCACAGCCTTGGGGGACGTCTCCAAAGTGGCGTTGGAAGAAGGGACAATGGATGACAAGAGGCAAAAAGCCAAGGCCCTTGGGCCGGCCAGCTTCCTGCTCGTCCTGCCCCGCGGTGTCAGCGGTCAGCAGGAGGCCCGTTCCTGGGGTGCGGTGCAGGGCCGTGGAGCCTCTCAACACCCTGCCCCCGGGGATACGGCCCTCCCGTGCTAGTTCCTGTCGCCAGCCTTCACCATGGCTACCAACCAGCAGGCACCGTGGGAGGCCTGGCCAGGACCCACGCACCGTCCCATCTCGGGCGGCATCCAGAACGCCCTCCCGCCTTCTCTTCCTCTCCCTCCGCTCCATCAGGGCCCGACTCAGTCCACGAAGCAACTCCCTGCCCGCCTGGTCACTAGCCTTCCTCTGTCCAGGCCTTTGCACTGCAGCAGGGCAGGCACCTGTCATGTCCCCCGTGCCCCGTTCTCTGCCTGCCCTCCCCTGGCCCGGCCTTCCCGCCTTGGGTCCACAGTGCCTGCAGCAGGAGCCGGACCCCAGCACTCGTCACTTCCAGGTTCCTGCTTGCGCACTGATTTCTGTTCCACCGTCAGCTACCCAAACCCTGTCCCGACCCAGCCTTCCCTGTTGCCACTGCGTCCTGTCCCCTCGTTCTGTGGCCCCTGAGGCGCGTGCCCCCACGCGACTCTCTCGAGCTCCTGGTTGCTGCCCTGCAGTGGCTAAAGTACCGCCTTGAGAGGAGCCCCAGCGGTTCAGCACTGTCACCAGCGTCCAGCACGGGCTGTGGCACGGAGCAGCTCCCCACATCAGGATGGGTACCAGGCCAAGCAGCGCTGGATTCCAAGCAGATGTCAGAGTCCACAGCCCTACGCCTGGATTCCCGGCAGCACGGGCCCCCGGTGTACAGGACTAGACCTCCCAGCTGCCGTCGGACAAGGCCTCCGTACCATGTGTTAAAGTCAGTGGCTTCTGGTGCCCGACTTTAGACCACTGTATCACAGACAACCTCTGTTCCCTGGCAGCAGTGGCCCTGCCAGCTGCAGTTGATGGCGCCATAATGGCCCTGCCACTGGCAGAAGTTGCGAGCCACACAGCTGTCACTCCTGCCGGGAGGGGTGGGAGCCCAGCCTGGCTAACCACAGCGGCCATTCCTGTGCGCCTCAGGGATTGCCCTTGCCCTGGGCATGGTCCCCAGGCCTGGCCCCAGCATTTTCACAGGGTTTCATGATTTAGATTGAGGCACCAGCTGCTGAGCCTGGAGGGACATATCCTCCCCTGGCGACAAGGCCTGGCTTTGAGGGGAGAGTGGGACACCAAGTGGGGAACGCTGCTGGGGCCCCCTGCTCTGTCAGCACCGCGTCATACATCTGTTCTTGTTTTTGCTTAAACTACTGTGAGTCGGGTTTCTGTCAGCAGAATGAGTCCCAGCCCAGCTGGTGCTCAGGGCCCTGCAGAAGCCAGACCGCACCTCGTGTCTGCTCCTCACCCACTAGGCTCCAGCCGTTCCTGCCCACCGCGCTGTCCCTTGGCCCTGAGGCCCACTTCCCTGGCTTCCTGGTGACCCCAGATCCCGCTCTGGCCTCTGCTTCCCCGACCCCTTGTCTTCTGGAACTGTCTCTTGGCTTTCCTGCCTGTGGCACTTTCCATGCAGGACGTGGCCCCAGGGATGTGTGGGTCTCCCCCCCGAGGCCACGTACTTCCTGCCACGGCAGTGTGGCGTCCTGTGCCTCCTTCCCGGTGCCTGCCCTGCCACAGGCAGCTGGGGAATTCGGTTAAACAAGACTCAAAATAAAATTACACAACTTTCTGTGTGCACTTACATTAATGAAAAAAATGAAAATTACAGAGCAAGAAATATTAGAGAAAATCAAGCATGCAGTTTCACTCCTGGATACACCACCACCCCCATGGAGCTGCCCTTTGGGACGTGGTGTGTCCACGTACGCACAGAGGCATGCCTGTCTGTGTCACTCTCTCAAGGTTAAGCACACCGCGCATTCACCCAACATGACAGAATCCCCTCGTGAAAATGAAGAAGCTTTTTAAAGAAGAAACGTCCTAGTTGTTCAGCAGCTTAATCTATTTCATTGCACCGCTGGGCCACTTCCTATCAGCAGCATTTGGGATCCCGTCTCGTGCTGTTCCGAGTAACGCCAGGACATGGGGATCCCTCTTACAGCCTCCAGCTTCCCCGCATCCTTCGGATGCATTTCCAGCAGTGGGAGCGGCAGACCCTGAGGAGTCCGAACGTTTGAGGGTCTTGGGTTCTCTGCTGACCTTGGGCCCAGCTGCTCTCCCACCAGCAGGAGCCCCCACCCAACACTGAGCCTGACAGCAGGAAACATCCGGGCTAATTAGTTGGCATCGCTGCTTTTAATTTGCATGTCTGGGTATTAGTAAATTGTGATTTTAAAAAACCCATGTATTGCTATCAAGAATGGAACATGGTTAATATTTTCTCATATTTACATGAAGTTTTTCAAAAGGAATAATAAAATTTCCATAAAGTAATTTGTAGTTTTTTTTTTTTTTTTTGTCTTTAATTTCTGCTTTTGTGATGGGTTTGGAATGAATTCCTGTACTTCGTGGTCATTGCCATCGAAACCCAGACACTACTGAGCAATGCCCCTCGGGCAGGTCGGGGAGAAACCTCCCAGGCTGCGGGGAAAGGACCACTTGTTTTTACACACAGGCCAGGAGGTCTTAAAGGTCAAACCATGAAATGAACCAGTATCTACACAAAGGGGGCCTGGGCCTCCCCTGGGCAGAAGGACGCCCTCCTCCACGCAGACTGGAAGGGCAGGGAGAGCTCCAGCTGCCGGGAGGGTTCTGGCGCTGGTGTGGGTGGGTGCCCAGTGGAAAACCTATCCCGCTAGGTCTCTGTGCTTCTCCCTGTCCTTCCGTAGCGAGAACAGGAAACTCTCTTTGCCTGGCCAGTAAGGACCCGCCCCTGTGACCAGGCCTGTGCTTGCCTCACCCGAATCTGCAGGCCAGTGGCTGCCCTGGGCTGGCGAAGAGAAATAGCAGTACTGTTATGGTTGTTCACCGTGTCAACTTGAGAAGTTTAAAAGGTTAACTGTGTGACTCAGCAGGAAGCCGGGGTGCTTACTTTGTATTCATCCTGAGCCTGTGCAAGAGGAAGGCACGCAGAGGGTGTGGGTGTAGAGGCCCCGCTCCCCGCACCCAGGGCGGGAAGGCTGCATGCAATAAAAAGGAAATGAGAAAGGACAGGTTGCTGGTTCTTCCGGGGAGCTCCAGTCTTCGCCTTCAGCTCGGTCATCTCCTGGCTTCTGGCAGACTGTTTGGCTTCCGCCTGGGACTCTTCAGCCTTCTGGTGTAGGCTCTCCGGCCTTCGTTATAGATTCTCCAGCCTTCTGTCACAGACCCATCAGCCTCCTGATACGGATTTGCACGGATGAGCTCCAGGCCCGGGGCCGGGCTCTTCAATCTCCAGGGTGCAGACGCCCTCTGCACGCTTCCTCACCCAACTCTGGGGCTGACCATCGTAAGCCAACCTTGTCATTTCTTGTACATTTGTTTATCTTGTGTTACATCTGCTTCTCTAGTAAACCCTGACTGATACAAGTACGTAACATTCTGTGTAACTTGGATGGATAACAATTGCTCTGCCATGCACACGTGCACGTCCCCTGGGCCTCTGGTAAGGCCTAGCACCGCCCGTGCTTCCAGACAAGACACAGTACTGTGCACGGAGGGGTCTGGGCCCAAGCGCACGGCAGTTGGCAACAAGACAGGCTGGCACCCAGTGGGTGTGTTCAGCGCCCGCGCCTTCCAGCCGCTTCCCCCTCCCCAGCTTCCGGGTGTCGAGCCTCCGGGTGGGCTGTGCGCCTGGAGTGTCCCGGGTCCTCCTGCCTTGCTTGGCCGCACGCCCCGGCCTGGAGCACGCCCTTGTCCTGCACGCCTCCCCGCACCTGGGCTCCCCCGCACAGCGAGGCTGCTGTGCCCTGGGCACCACCTAGGCTGCGCACCTCCACATGGCAGGCTGCGGAGGGAAGGTGGCGATGAACCGCTGTGTGTGTTTCCAGCGCTCCCCGCTCTTGGCCAGCTATGACCACCAGAAGCTGACCGAGAAGCTCAAATCCAGCGCCCGCACGTAATGCCAGTATTTCACCGGGATGAACAGGATCTCTCCAGGAGCCAGGGTGCACGACAGGAAGGGCGCCTCGGCAAATTTGGGGAACTTCTCCAGGTCGGGGTTCTCCACGTCCACCTGAAGGAAGAAAAAGAAGCCATTGCGGGTCTCCCAGGACAATGGGCGAGGGGGCGGGCACGCCCCGCGGTCCCGGGCACCCCCGCGCCCACCTGGCTTGTGTTATGAAGAAGGTGCGTCTCATGAGGGTACAGGGCCTCCGAGTCCTGCGGGGAGTACAGCCGGATGTACTTCCTCCCGATCACCTGCGGAGAGACCTTGCAGTGTCGGCGGGCCGCTGGCTTCCTCCGCCCTGCTCCCGTGCCTGGCCCGCCCTGCTCCCCCGTCCACGCGCTTGGGTTCCATGCGTGTGCTCTCCCCCAGATGTGCACCAACAGCCCCCCATCACCGCTGCCAGGCACAGGACGCTCTGGATGCACCGAGCAACTGTGCACCTGTGTGCTCCTCACACCCTCAGGGGCTTCATCATCACCCCTACTTTTTGGGGAGGAAACTGAGGCAGAGAGAGGCGACATGAATTACTCAAGTTCACGAAGCTGAGAGGGAGGGGACACCTGGAGTCACACCAGACAGCTTGGCTCCTGAGACCTGGCTCTCAGCCCCTACCTACGGGACGGCCTCTTTGGACAGGCCCAGGCGCACCCAGGGTGTCCATGTATTGAGCCTCCTCTCTGCCTGCAAAGGGCGGGGTGTCGTACACGGGCAGCTGTGTGCCCCTTCCATGACAACAAGCTCGCACTCCTCTGCCTGGGTGCCCGCGCAGCGCGCCCACCCTGTCTGTATCTGGAAGGTGGCCCCTGGAAGGTGGCCCACGGACGGCGGGCAGGGGGATGGCAGCGTGGGGCAGCGGCAGCTTGTGGCTTCCTCTTTCCCTGAGGTGCCCCTGTGCCAGTCCAGGATGAGCCCCAGTGGGGAGAGGGCCCCCTTGAACCCGCTTTTTTCATTTTGATCCACATCCCTGTAGTGGCTCATGCTTCTGCTGTCCAAGGGGCGACGATGTGGTGGGGTCACCAGGTGGGGCCAAGAGCAGACAGGAGCCCCTGTTCTGGAGTCCCACCTGGGCCAGGAAGTTCTGCTGGGGATCCTGATGCAGTGGGGACACGGTTCCTGGGGGACCAAACCAGGCATTGATGGTGATCTCCTCCTCCTCCCCGCTGCCCAGGCAGCAGTAGTCGGGAATGCTGATGTCCCGCTTCAGCTCCGGGATCTGCGGGCACGAGAGCAGATACAGGGAGCTGACAGCCAGCCTAGGCACAGCAGCCCACGCAGTGGGGACCACGCCTCCTCCATCCTGATTTCCGTGGACAAGAACTTGACAAACAGTGAAAAAAACCATAATTATTAGGTAAGAGCTGTAAGCTTATTTTCATATGTGTTTCCATATGGTATGGATTTACTCATTTTAAAACCTGGTATTCATGCTTTATACTTAAGAATAATAAACCAGCTTATCATTTTCTAAAGAATTAAATGTCTTTTTTGAAAATTACAGTACTCCATAAAAGGAGATCGAAGAGGATATCAGAAAATGGAAAGATATCCCTTGCTCATGGATAGGAAGAACCAACATAGTGAAAATGGTCATACTACCAAAATCGTTATACAGATTTAATGAATCCCAATCAAAATACCATTAGCATACCTCAATTCATTTGGAAACAGAGGAGACCTAGAATAACAAAGGCAATCCTGGGCAACAAAGAAAAGGCAGAAGGCATCACAATCCCTGACTTGAAATTATACTACAAAGCTACTGTGAAAAAATCAGCATGGTATTGACAAAAAAAAAAAAAACAAAAAAAAAAAACAACAGACCTGAGGATCAGTAGAACAGATTAGAAGATGCAGACACAACTACAAACACACTCAGCTACCTTATCTTTGACAAAGGGGACAAACATATTCACTAGAATAAAGATAGCCTCTTTAATAAATGGTGCTGGAAAAACTGGTTTTCCACATGCTGAAGACTAAAACGACACCCATGTCTATCACCATGCACTAAAGTAAAAATGGATCAAAGATCTAAATATTACAACAGAAACACTAAATCTACTGGAAGAGAAAGTAGGTAGAAATCTTGAAGACAAAGGGGTAGGCAAAGAGTTCAGAAACAAAAGCCAAATTGCACAGGAAATACTTCAAAGAATCAACAACTGGGATCTCATCTTATTAAAAAGTTTTTGCACCTTGAAAGAAATCACTAACAGAGTGAAAAAAAAACCCCAAACAGGGTAGGAGAAATTTTAGCTAACTGTCCCTCAGACAAAGGACTTCTATCTAGAACATAGAAAGAATTTTAAAAAATTAGGTCCCCCAAATTCAAAGACCCAATAAAAAAGTGGGCATCTGAGATGAATATACACTTCTCAGATGAAGAAATACAAATAGCAAATAAATATATGAAAAAATGTTCAACATCATCAGTCATTTGAGAAATGCAAATCAAAACAATCCTAACATTCCATCTCACCCCAGAAAGAATGGCTACCATCAAGAAATCAACCAATAACAAATGCTGGCGGGGCTGTGGGGAAAAAGAAACCCTTCTCCACTGTTGGTGGGAGTGTAGACTGGTGCAGCCACTGTGGAAATCAGTGTGTAGTGTGGAAATTCCTCAAAAAATTAGGATAGAAAAAAAAATTAGGATAGAGGTCCCATCCAACCCAGCTATTCCCCTTCTGAGTATTTTCCCAGAAGAATTAAAAACATCATACCATAGCGATATATGTGCACCTATGTTTATAAAAGCACAACTTGTAATAGTCAGATTGTGGGAAAAACCCAAATGCCCATCAACTAAGGAATGAATAAAAACGATGTGGTATTTTTATACCATGGAGTATTACTCAGCTGTAAAGAAGGTTAAACTTGAGGCTTTTATAGGTAAATAGATGCAACTAGAGACAATACTTATAAGTGAAATAAATCAGACTCACATGTGTAAATATTGGATTGCTTCCCTAGTGTAAGAACCTGAAAGAGTAAATAAGACCAAAATGTACAATAGGTATTGTGAAAGAGAAAGAAACTGCTCAAAAGAAAGAACAACTGGGGGCCTGGTGAAAGGAGAAAAGAAGGGAAAAGATGTGGTGTGATAGCTAAGATAATTATATTACTAATTTCCATTAGTTAATTGAAAAGAATGGTTTGTGCTTACATTGTTTGATCAATTGTGCATGCCTTGATCTTATAATCTGAACAACTACTCTGAAGATAATAATATGCAATATATTAACCATTGCTAATTTCCTATACTTTGTTTTAAAATTCTGTATCTTTTTTTCTATTTAAAATAAAAAAAAGAATTAAATGTTTTAAAAAAAATCAAATTAAAGAAAAACAAAGAGAATATAGGATTGGATATTTACCTGACCTCTGAAGGGGAAGATTTTCCAAAATTTACCAAAGAAACTACAATGGATATATTTTAAGTATATTCAGCATAAAGACCAGCGAACTAGGAAATGTATTAAAACAGCTCTGGGGAGTGAGGGATTAAGGCGGAGCGTCCTTGCAAGTCAGAAGGAAAGCACCACACTCTCAGGCCATAAACTTCACAAGTAATCAAAGGACAGGAGCAGGGAGATGGCAGACTAGAAGGGCCTCGATGTCATCAGCAAATAAGCCCAAATGAAGTCAAGCGTGAGTCACTATTTCCCATTAGTCCCATGGACATGGACTGAGACTCTCCCGGGTGACAGGTGCTCGGGGGCTGCTGGGGCACATCGGCGACCCTGCCCAGACGGCGGCGTGGCCACGAGCAGATATGAAGTGCACCCCAGTCTGAGCAGCTGGCCGGGCTCCCTGCCGAGGCGCATCTGAGGAGCTGGGCTCCCCAGGGGCAGTGGTGCGAGGCTTACGGCGCTCACTTGCCGCAGCACACTCAGGAGCCAGTGACGGACGCGTGTGACAGATGCCCCTGGAAACCGGCAGCACGCGGCACCCGCGCTTCCTGAGACCTCCGCTTGCCTCCGGTCTCCGACGGCAAGGCCCCTGCCATCTCTGGGTAAGGGCGCCTCTCCCCAGCTGCCCACTCTTCCCAGCCCAGGGAGGCACGTGATGCTCCCCAGCAGGCTCAGCCCTGACTGTCCGCGTGTCCAGGCGCCCCAGCCCCTGGCTGCACCTGCTGGTACTTCTCAAGCTTGAGGAGAACGGAAACGGGGCTGGCAGGGGCCTCCCGTGTTTCCTGCGAGCAAGCTCCCCCCTCACCGTTGGCATGCTTCCGGCGCCACTTTCTGTAATTTCCGCTGCTGACCAGGAAACCAGGGGCTGCCTGGGAAGGCCTGAGTGCTCCCTGCAGGGAGCGTGGGCCTGGATCCTGCTGTCCTGGTCTCTGAGAGTCCGTCTCACGTGGTCAGTGTGGCCGAGGAGGGCTGCTCTATCCGCTGCTCTGGGCAACAGTCAAGCTCACGGTCTAAAGTCCCCAGTGCTGCAGGGAGGCCTTAGCCTATTCGCAAGATTCTGAAAGGTCCCTCAGAATCTTGGCTCCCCGCCACATCCCGCTACTGCTTCTGGCTCACACAGCACCAGATCTGGCCCTGTGGGATGCTGAGCAGAACGCTGATTGGTTCCTGATGACATAGTCAGGATTTCTGAAAGGTGAGTGGCTGAGGGGATCCCATCATCAGAATCTTACTGAAGATTCAAAGATTCAGAGACTGCAAGAAAACTAATTCTCCCATGATGCGACTAATAGCTGAAGACAGGCCTAAAATGGCCAAAAGCTTCACAACACAGGGTTTCTGCGAGGAAGGTCAGGGGAGGTTGCTGGTGGGAGCCTCTGAGCTTCCTACAGGCCCCAGAACACGGTCTGTGCCACGCTGCATGAAGGACCCCAGCTCAGGCTGCCCCGACTGCTCTCTGAGATGCTCTGAACTGCATAGGCAACGACCTTGCGGGGGCAATGACCCAAGTGGCCCTCCACTGAGTGAGACCCCCTTCAAGTCCTGGTTTGTCTTAAAAGTAACAGTGAACTCAGCCTTCTGCTCCTGTGTGGGTCTTTTCTTGCCCTAGGGCACTGCAGTGGCTGCTCCAGGGCTGTGCCCTGAGGGTCCCGGCTGACTGCACTGGGGATGCTGTGCCCAGGAGGACTGAGGTCAGGGCAGAGGCTGGTCTTGGGGACATGAAGAGGGAGCACCGGATAGCAGCCTCTCTCCTTCACTGAGCAGGAGAGGTAGACACGAGGCAGATTTACGGGTACTAGCGCAGGCAGGCTGGGCAGGAGGCCCTGTCCCCCACGCCGCAGCCCCTCTGAGCTTGAGACACACAGGCTGAGTCTGGCACAGCCCAGCCTCGGCAGCAGAGAGCAGCAGAGTGACATTTCTGGGACTGACTCAGACCTGTCCTGCTTAGGTCAGGCACCCGGACCCGCCCCAGATCCTGCCAGTGGCCGCCGCCCTGCCTACTCCTTCGGTCTCAGCATGCCGAGGCCACGCTGGTGAGCTCCTGAGTGTTCTGGCTCCCAGACCGAGTCTCCCTCCAGTGCCGCCTTTGCCCACGTGTCTACCCACATCTGGTGGTCCACACGTGCTCCAAATCTCTCCTGAGCCTGCACATCAGCTCGCCTGGGCCACATCCTGTGGCTGTGGAGCTGCAGCCCGCTGTGTGTCCTGCTGTGTGGCGCCTGTCCCCAGGACTGTCCTCCCGCCAGCTTCCCCTTCAGCCGGCAGCCACCTGGACCCTGTCGACAGGAAGATCCCGGGGGGCGGGACCTGTGGTCGGTCCTATGTTCTCATTGCTCGCCCAGGGGAGCAGGAGCACACAGAACCTGCTCTGTCCGTCTCCCTGCCCTTGCAGCTATCCGTGCTCTGCTGGATTCTTCCGGGGAACTTCGAGCTCAGAGGCTTCCCAGGGGACCTCAGCACACAGATAAAATCTGAGTCCTTGGCCTGGTCTCCAAGCCCCACCTCCAGGCTGGCCCCGGCTCCCCTGCCCACCTTCTGTCTCCACTCTTCTAAACCCCTCTCCTGGCGGCCACTGCAGCGCTCTACCTGCACCTCGGGGTGTGGGCGCCTGTCCCCAGGACTGTCCTCCCGCCAGCTTCCCCTTCAGCTGGCAGGAAGTAGACTGGAGGGTCTCTCTGGCCCGGGCCAGGTGTGGGGAGATGGTCGTGTTCACGACGTCTGGGTCGTGGGAAGGCCACCGAGCCCTGCCCAGCCTCTCCCTTTCATGGCAGGCGCAGAGCCGGCGCCCTCACCTGGCTCTCTGGAACCCACAGCTCAGTGCTGACCACACCTGCGCTCCTGACCCAGTGCCGCCGCCCTCACCTGCCCGTGGCCTCATTCCCGTGCTGCACACCTGAGCCCTCCCTAGTCCAGGGTCTCTCACGCCTGGCGTGCCACTGTCCCCAGCTGCCTGTGGCGAGGAGGGGACGGTGCCATCACTAGGAGGGCGCCCCTGCTTCTGCTGGGGAGCAGCATCAGCGTGCAGCTTCCTTCCCTGGAAAAGAGGCAGGCGGGGAGGGAGAAGGGTGCAGGAGTACGGTCTCAGACTCACCTGGTCAAAGAGCTGGTGCTGAGCCAGGTACCCGACGTCCCTCGCCTACCCCGCAGGGGAAAACCAGAGGGACAGAGAGCCCGGTTAGTGATGACAGACACCTCTCAAGCTGAGGCTACGTAGTTGGTGCTGTGCCCCCACCCCAGCTCCAGCCCCACAGCCCGCAGGGATGGCCCTACTCTGTCTTGCTGGGTCCCTCCTCTGCCCTGGGGCTGACGGGACCAGTGCCCTCCCAGCAGGATGGGGCCGAAGGGTGGGAGACCGAGGATCTTGGCGGTGTCCTCCCAGCCGGGTGCCTGACCGAGTCACCGTCCCAGGGCTGCTCCCCAAGTGACAAATGCAGGCACTTTGCATCCATGTTTTCCATCTTAAAAAAATGTTAACAATATACATAACATAAAAGTAACGCTTGGCCCCATGTAAGTATCCAGTTCGGGGCATTAAGCACAGTCACCCTGCTGTGCAGCCGTCACCATCTACCACAGAGCTCTTTCCATCAGCAAAGTGAAACTCTGCACCCACGGGGCAGCAGCTCCCCACCAGCCCTTCCCCAGGCCCTGGCAACCGCCGTTTCTAAATGATAAAAATGGGGCCATATATATATATATTTATTATTATTTTTTTCTTTCCTTGACACTTCCTTATTTTCTCCCCCTGGTGCTAGAGAAAAAAACCCAGGGCCTCATGCACACAAATCACATGATCCACCACTGAGCTACACCCTGGCCAGGAATCTGCTTTTTTCTTTGATAACACAACTTGAATCTCATACGGATCTGACTTGTGATTTGCAGGGTATATAATGTTTTATAACTAAGATAGACTATTGTTAATTCACTAATCCCTTGCTGGTCGACATTTAGGATGTTCTGCCACACTGTTGTAACTATGTACTACCCTTGCATTTGTGCGGTACAGGCTTCCAAAAGTACAACTGAGTCAAGCACCAGTGCACAGAAAGTGTGAGTAGTGCCTGCCATGTATTCTCCCAAATGCTGACCTGTCTGTGCTCCCACAGGTGAAGGAAGGGAGCACTCATTTTCCTCCCCCTTTAAGGGATATTATTAATGCCATAATGTCCCTGTTCAGGCGCCAGTTATGAGATTAATAACATTCCTTAGTTATTGCGGGCTGATCAGGTCTACAATCTCCTGAGTGTACGGCAAAGGCTAAATAAAAGAGGCAAATGGAATGATTTCAGGGCTCCAGGAGGATCATAGCCCTCTCCCAGAATTCAAGATTCTCTCTGGGCTAAGACCTAGACCTTCTCTGGGTCGCCCGTTATTTATTTGGTTATCAGAAAGAGGGAGGGGAGTACGCAAGAAGGGCGGAACCACTCAAGGACTTCTGTAAATAAGGTATTATGTTAATGCACTCAAGAATGAGATGCCTGGGGCTATAGTCTTTGTCCAGTTGAGATCTGGGTATCCTTGGCTGTGATCTTGTCTTGTCCTTTGAGGCTTTCTGGCTTCATCCACCACTACAGCTTTTACTAGGGATTAGTGACTCACAGAGGTTCACTTACTATGAGTCCACCATTTCCAGATAAGGAACCTAGGCCTTGGACAGATTCACAAGTGAGTATGAAAAACCAAATGATTAATTTAAGTCCTGCTTCTTAGTGGTCTCCGTCACCCCTTTGCCTGCATTGGTTTTGTCGTTCGGTGACAATTTCAGATAAATGAGGTCAGTGGTTTATAACTGGGCTCCCCCATGCTCCAAGGGCTCTTTTATTTATTTACTTTCTTAGTGGATGTTTGCTATACATAGTAATTACATTTGTTTTGGGGAGTTGGCACATACATATCATTTCTTCATCATTTTTGATTCCTCCCCTCCCCATTTTCTTCCCCTTCTCCAAAAGGTTTGCCTCTGTTTCCTCCATCTATCCTTCATTTTCTATTTATTTATTTATTTATTTTGAAACGGGGTCTTGCTATGCAGTTCATGCTGGTCTCGAACACACTATGTAGCCCAAGCTGGCCTCAAACTCTCGGCAATCCTCTTGCTTCAGCATCCTAAGTGCTGGGATTACAGGCATGGGTCACCACACCCGGCCTATTTTACTCTTTAATTAATTTACATTTAGGTTTCTCATGTAAGAGAAACTCTGTAACATTTAACTATCTCTGTCTGCCTTACTTCACTTAGCCTTATGGTCTCACAGTCTCTCCATTTTTCTGCAAGTGATGATTTCATTCTCTTTATGGCTGAGTAATATTCCAGTGTGTGTGTGTGTGTGTGTGTGTGTGTGTGTGAGAGACATTTTCTTTGTACGTGTGTCTGTTGATGGGTATCTAGGCTGTTTACAGAGCACAGCTGGTGTGACGGTGCTGCTGTAAAGACAGTTATGCACATATCAGTACAGCACGGTGTCTATAACCCTTGTGGGAATGCCTAGGTGGGTACGGCTGGGTAGAATGGAATTTCCAATTTCGGTTTTTGAGAAGTCTTCATACTGATTTCCAAAGCGGTTGCACTAGTTTATGTTCCCACTGGCAATTATTGCTTCAGGTGCCTGAAGGTCTCCGTGGAAATGGCTGTGTCCTGGGGGCTCAGATGGGAGCAGAGCTCACAGCACTCCGGGCACCGTCACCCCCACGGTAGCCAGGGCAGGGACAGCTTCATCTGATGGCTCTGAGGCCAGGGCAGGGCCGGAGCAGAGCGGCCGCTCTTCAGGATGCCCTGGGGGTGTCTCTGCCTGCCCACTGCTGTCCTGCAGTCTCTTCCTCCAGCAAACACTACTGAGGCCACGAGCTGAGCCCCAGGCAGCCAGCCCGAGGCCAAGGCCATGTCCATGTCCCGGGCAGGGCAGTCGGGGTCACTAACTGAGCACCGGCCACACTGCACGGAGGGAGCCGTTTCTAACCGCGTGAGGACACGATGCATCCGGCATCCGCAGCCCGACTCAGCAGCTCAACAACGCCCGAGGTCTCTGGAAGTCGGGCTCTGAGGATGTGAAGGAACTAACCAGCTGAGGCCACACGGCCAGCAGGGACAGCGCTGGGTCCAGCCCTGTGCAGCATGGCCTCCTTCTAGCAGTGTTCCCGCTCAGGGTACCCGGCTCTTTCCCGACAGGGAGATGGTGAGGCGTCCTGGACTGGACTTGCTGCTGGTCACAGCAGCTAGAATCAGCCAGCATGGCCGCCAGCTTGGATGCTCTGCCTCAGGAGATGCATGGATAGAGCGCCTGGGCCAACAGGAGCGGCCGTGAGGAAGCACGTGGAAGAACCACCAGGCCCCGCTGCTCACTTGAAGAAGTGTGTGGAAGAACCGCCAGGCCCCGCTGCTCACTTGAGGAAGTGTGTGGAAGAACCGCCAGGCCCCGCTGCTCACTTCGCATGGGTCCTGGTCCTACTTTAGGGTCTGTGCCTGTCTATGGGTGTCCCAGGCCCCAGGAGGAGCTGCTGCCCCTGCTGCCAAGACTGCAGTGGTGACACGGAGTGGACAAGCTGCCCACAGGAGGCCCAAGTGAGCCAGCAACCCCCGCCCCAGTGCCTGTGTAGAGGGCAATGAATCTTAGCATATTATTTTGGATAAAATAGTTTTGGTAAAAGCCTACATGGTGCCTTGGGAAGCCTCCCGGGATAGTGTAAGAGCTAATTCCCCCATCAACACTGCCCAGCAATGTCTCCCCAAGATAAGGGGCGCCTAGGCCTAGTTAACCCTCCGTGACCCTGCCTGGGCAGTTCCATCTCCTGGCCCTAGGTAAACATTGTAACCATCAAGTAAATGTATGGTTATCTAAAGGGGGACATATAGAAGAGAGTACAGAAAGTATATATCATTGTGGTTGGGCTCATGACCGGAGCCTGACCCAGTTATACGGCACAAGGAAAACAACATGTGGCCAGGGCTACAACATTCCTTTCTGTTACCATGGAAACCAAAAATGTATATAACCTGGGAACAAAGACAGGTCCACGCCCACTTCCCGGACTTCCAAGTCGGGATGAGAGGTGACTGGTCTAAATTAAAAACTTTGTCTGTTCTCTTTGGTCTCTTGTGGAATACAGCCCGAATTTTTGCCGTAACACCTGCTGTCTGTGAGAGGCGAAAGTACGGCTGCACAAGCGGTGCCTGTGAGCGCTCGCGGCAGCCTGTGCACACCAGCCAGAGTGGAAACAACCTGCACGGCTGTCCGCAGATGAACACACAAAATAGGGTCCACCTGTTATGGTTTAGCTCTAAAATGTCCCCACAAATCCTCGCGTGTGGAAGGTGCTGGGACCCTGAGGGCGCAGCGGTCCCTGGAGTCGTGTCCTTGAGGGTGATACTTGTCCCTGGCTCCTCCCTTCTCCCTCTGCTTCCCGGCTGGCATGGGTTTACCACCTTTCCTTCCGTCATGTCTCTGTGCTGTCTCTGATTGGAGCCCGCTGCCAAGCACTGGAACTGCAGGCCGAAAGAAACCTCCTCATTTAAGTCATGGGCATCAGGCGTTTTGTTACAGTGGCAGGAAAGTGGCTGAGACGCCACGTGCACCATGGGATATTCAGCTAAACGCTGTGCAAGGGAGGGAAGCTGCCTCAGGGGCCTCAGACCCTGTGACTCCACGTATGTGACATGCACAGAACCGGCCAACAGCGCAGGCAGAGAGCAGATCTGCGGTTGCCTGGGGTGGGGAGGAGTGGGGGATGGTGACTAAGGAGCACCAGGCTCTCTGGGGGCGAGGCACATGCTCTGGAGTTAGGGAACGGTGGCGGCTGCACAATCTTATGAATATACCGAAAACCACTGAACTGTACCCCCAGAAAAGGGCCTGAAATGAGGCCCTGGTGCTTTGCTGGTGGCCTGCCCTCCTGCGGGCAGCCTACTGACCCCAGGACCCTGGTCTGGCACCCTGGCCCCACTGCATTGTGGAAGGCTATGCAACCCCTGCACTCTGTTCTCTGCCCTGGAAGGGAGCAAGGAGGAGCCGAGTCACATACCTCATTCGTGATGTACTTGCTGACAAACTCCTCGACAGTCATGAGGGTCTGGGACCAGTCCTCGTCCGTGTACCTGGAGCCGACCTCCACGGGGACAGTGCGGCAGCCGGCCACCTCCCGGATGTAGTCCAAGCTACGGGAAACCCATGCCCGGCCAGCGGTGTTGGCATCATGGCGAACATCTGCCGCCCCCATGTGGGGCGGTTCTGTCCGCGCTTCCCTTGGCTCTCACAAACCCCAGGCAGAGTCTATGCTACCCTTCACAGTGCTGCCGGGGTGCTCCGCGCGGAGACCAAGGCCACACAGCTGGCACGCAGCACTGGGCAGCTTTGCAGACAGACTCGAGAAGCTGGTCTGCGGGCCTCTCCCTGCTGCTTCCGACCCTTCCTACTTATCTCTGTGCTCATCCTGTGTGAGTGGCCAAGTTCCCAGCTCTGGACTCTAGGCCTCATCTGGTACTGACCCTGGGGCCTTCAGCGAGTTACTGGACCTCTCCGAGTCCTGCTTCCTTGCTGCAAGATGGTGAGATGACAGTGCCGGTCCATGGGAACCGGGGAGGATCAAATAAGGTCCAATACGGCAAGCCCCTGTGCTGGCACCAGGCACTAAACAATATGCATTGCGACAGCGGCACCTATGCCACAAATCCTCCTCACCCAGCCTCAGCAGGCAGCTGTCCCTCAGCAGAACCCCTACAAAACAGGCTGACCCCTCTCGCCTCCCTCCCAGCTGTCCTATTCTTCAGCAGCCTTGGAGGTCTGGTTCCAGGGTTGACTCTTGCAGGTGCCAAATGCTGAGGATAAAATATAGTATGGTAGCAGCTGGGCATGGTGGTGCACACCTATAATCTTAGTTCTCTGGGAGGCAGAGGCAGGAGGATCTTAAGTTTGAACCTAGCCTGGGCAACTCAGTGACTTAGCAAGACTCTGTTTCAAAATAAAAAAAGTAACTCAGTGGGATGGCACACGCCTATAATCCCAGAACTTGGGAAGCTCAGACAGGAGGATCGCTGTAAGTTCAAGGCCAGCCTGGGCCACATACGGGGTTCAAGGCCAGCCTGAAGTGCAGAGTGAGACCCTGTCTCAAAAAAAGGTAGGAGTGTGTGTGTGTGTGTGTGTGTGTGTGTGTGTGTGTGTAAGGGGGATGTACTTCAGTGGAAGGCCCTAGGTTCAGTCCCCATTATCACATACACACACACATACACACACACACACACACACACAAGCAGAGCAGTATGCACAGCCTCTTGAGGAGCACTTTAAGACATCTCCTGACTACTTATAGTACCCGACACTGACACAATGTGAATGCTGTGTAAGGAGCTGCTAAACTGCATCAGACACTCAGTGTCACAGCTCTGCTTTCCCTGCTGACCTGCACTGGCTGAATTGAAGGACACGAAACCCATAGGTGTGCAGGGCCCCTGCGCCTCCCCACCGCCAGTGCATGCACGGCTGCTCTCTAGCGGCCTGCTGACCCCCTCCCCCACTCTCCACACTCCTTCTCAGCTCCACCTCGGGGACCCGGGAAGACCTGTGGCATTTCCAAGATCCCACAGCATGCCTTCCAGGCTTCACTCTGAGGTCGCCACTCAGGCCCTCATTAAAAGCCTGCTCGGCAGCTGTGGAAGGGAAGACTCTCACACCCTCCAGCCTAAATTCAGACCGCCTCACTTTTAATTCGGCTTAACCCCTAGGCAGGGAGTCCCAGGGCTGGCAGCGTCTGAGGGGGGCTGGAGTGGCCTGTGGGTGGCAGGAGGAGGCACTTAGAGGGTCCGGGGGATGCTAAGATGGGGAGAGGGACCTCGCCCTGTGGCAACCGCTCACCTCCACTTCTTCATGCACGGCCAGTGGTCAGCCACGCCGGCCAAGATCACAGGCCTCCCCGGAAGCAGAAAGTGCTTTCTGAAGTGCTGGAGGGAGGGACGGTGGAGCCGGGGCACTGCTCTCTCCAGCCTGACGTCCGGAGCGGGAACGTGGTCACGCTTTGCTTTCTGTTTAAAATTGAGATGAAACAAAATGGTGACTGACTCAGAAATTCACAATTTGGCATCGTGGTAGGAGGACAGATTTCGTTAATAATGCAGCATTTATTATTCTACTAGTTTCTCTCAGGAGATCAAGGTCCTTTCTTCCTTTCCCTTTTGTGAAAAATGTTTGTTCAACTGTAAGAGTAATATATTGCTATCATGGAAATTCTGTGTTAAAGGAGACCTCGGTACCTCAAAGCGCACCATTAAATAAAGCGTTCTCACCCATGCGTCCTCTCTCCCCACCTTTCACACCTGCTGGACGTCAGCCAGGACCAGTGAGCGACTCCGCGGCCTGCAGCCGATGCCGGCTCTAAAGCAGTTTTCACGTTGTCGCTGGTCAGCCTGAGCAAGTTAAGTAGTGCCCCGCGCCTCTGGGACACAACTTCACACACAGTGCCAGGGCCACCGACTGGCACGTGTCCCCTGCCCGCTGTTTCTGCTGCCACAGTCTTCTAAGGCAGCTTTGACCTACACACATTCCCTGGACAGAGGCCTCTGTGGTGATCCTGAGGGAAGCAGCCTCCGACCTTCCCCGAGAGAAGAAACGAAGCCTCAGTGGGAAGTGAGTGCAGGGAGGAAGCAGGACCCCTCGGTGCCACACACCCAGCCCGGCTCACCCCGCCACCACAGTGCTCAGGAGGCTGAGGAGCTGCCACCGCGCACTGGTGAGGGCCCTGGTGGAGCGCAGCGAGGCTGAGACGCCTGCCTGAGTCACGGATGGAGCGTGGCGTGCGACTGCGAACCTGGGCAAAGTCCACATTCTCACATCTTTGGGGGCAGACACCATGCCGTGCCAGGACTGATGTGGGCATAAGGCCCTCTCCACACTTCCTTGGGACATACTTGGAGAGGGACCAGGCCACAGCCCTGGACTCGGGGGAAAGATATTTGTCCCCTGACCTGCGTATTGGCCCTGTCTCTAGAGGGCCAACCAACACACCCTGCCAACACACACTGCGCGCCGGGGTCCACCTACAGCCTTGTCTGCTAAAGCTGTCTCGATGCTTTTGTTATGTGCATCTCTGTCCCTTCTATTTCTTAGCCACAGGTATGGTGGGAGGTTTCCTAGCATGGTTTTTAACAGGTCTGTGCCCCTGAGAGCACCCACTCGAGGTTCCAGTCCTTTACCTCGAGGTGCCAGCTCCTTCTTTTACTAATTTGTTCTCTCCTTAAAGGACGGAACCAGTCTCTCTCCATCTCTTCCCCCTTGAGGTTTCCTTTTGTGACATCCATCTGCATTTTTCTTATATAAAACTAATACTGTAGAACATTCTAAGCGCACAGGAGAGCACTGAGAGGTATGTCAGAAACACGTCCTATCTCCACTTGCAGTGTCCCGTAGGATCTTAGTCTTTTTCTTTGGGGGATCTAATTTCTACTTTATAGACTAAGAAACAAGGCTCAAGGCAAGAACTGGGTTGCCAGGAGCGGGTGAGGCCTCTGTCAGCCCCGGGCTCTGGAGCCTTGTGGGTTCACTTTGCTCAGGGCCTACAGGGGACTTTGGGGCACAGACACCTCTTGTGGCTTATATCTAAATATCCCCCTAAAGCCTCATGTGCTATAGGTGGGGCTGAGTCATGGGTGTGTGGAACTGGATTAGCCCTCTGATTGGTTTAGCATGTTTCTGGGTGTGGATGATGGACCTACTGAAGAGAAACACTCCCCCAGGTGTGAGTAGCATCAACCAATAGGCTCGCAGCCTGGGTGGAATGAAAAGGGAAAGGAGGAAGTTGTGCTGCCCCCTGCCTGCCATGCAATGAACTCTTTCTCCTCTGCTACGGAATGAGCCCACAATGGACTAAAACTTCTACAAACTGTGAGCTAAAATAAACCTCTCCCCCTTTAATTTGTGGGTGTTGGGTGTTCTGTTCCACCAACAAGAAAGTAACCAAGACATCATCTAAACACCAGGCAACCCCCCCACGGACCACAGCAGGCAGCTCACAGCAGATTCTCACCAGTGCTGCACTGCATGGGCACAGGGAGGGGAAATGGGGGCTGGGGCGAGCTGGCCAGGTGCAGGTTGGCTCTGCCACATGAACCCCTGGACAATGCTTCTCTCGGGATCACAAAGATCCTACCCTTCTCCTAAAACACTACTTTTGTGGGAACTGTAGAAAAAATTTTTTTTGCCAACATGGACCTAGCATCTCCACTCCCCAAATTAATGGAGGCACTATTTTCAGCTATGGGGTGTGGGGGACTATGAATCACAGACGTGTGACAACTCTAGGAACACGGGGCTGCGGGACACTCAGTGTGGGCAGTGACGCACTCCCCAGATACCTTTAAGCTGGGCAGTTCCTGGCTAGGACTGCAGTCAGGCCTCTTTCTAGACACCAAGTGCGCCTGGAGGACAGCCACGACTCTGATGAGGATGTCCCCAAGGATGGCCGCGCCCATCAGCAGGCCCATGTCACACACTCGCAGGGCTGCAGCCACAGCAGTGACCTCCCGAGGTGGCTGGCACAGACACAGGGCCTTCAGGAGGCAGCCGAAGGCATACACCTGCCGCCAGGCCTTGTTCACGTCCTGCCACGGCCCGGTATTGAGCTTCTCCCAGGCGTAATCCAGGACGGCCTCGCTGGCCTGTAGACAGTCGGCCCACCGGCCCCCGTGGAAGAGCTCCACGGCCTGCTGCAGCAGCAGTGCCGTGCCTCTGTCCACTTTCTCGCCAAGGTCCAGCATCAGGTCCTCCTTTGTGGATGGCAGGAGTGCCATGAGGGCCTCCCAGAGGGCATCTCCAGGCCCCTCGGTACCTTCCGCCATGTGGCCCAGGCCAGCTCGTGAGATCAGCACCTGAGAGGGGAAAGACAAGAGTCAGGGACCAGGCACAGAGCCCGAGGCTCACCCGCAACGCTCTCTGCTGGGCTCGAACTGCGTCAGCACAGGGCCCCTGTCTGCATACACTGCTCTGTGTCAGGGCCTGGCACAATGCCCGGTCCTCAGCGACCCTGGGCAGCTGTCTGCTGAGAGCGGCGTGTGTCCCGTCCTCCTCTGGAATGCCTCCCACACCCCTCCTCTGCCTGAAGAACTCTCACCCAACCTTTCAGGCCGGTCTTAAATGATGCCCCCTAGGAAGCTTTGTGGCATTCTCCAGCAGTGTTTTGCGCTGCCCGGGCCCTTGGGCTTCTCTGACAGCACTTGTCATGGGATACAAGTACAAACAGTTCCTTACATGGCTGCCTCTCCAGTGCTGGAGTGTGGGCTCTTCCAGGGCCGGAACACATCTTACTTCCCCTCTTCCTCAGAGCCTAATGGCTAAGTCTGGCTCAGGGCAGGCGCTCAATAAGAGAGCCGACTGGGTAACTTCTCAGGCAGTGCTATGGTCTGGTAAGCGCCTCCCATGGGCCGCTGTGTTCAAGAGCTGGTCGTCAACTGTAGGGGGCACCATCAGGAGGTGGGGCCAGGGCGGAGGTAGTCAGGGCACTCACTGCAGGCAGTGCCCTTGATGGGGATACAGGGACCCCAGGCCCACTTCCTGTGAGGTGAACAGGGCTCCTCTGCCACTCCCACCACGCCTCAGGCTCAGAGAAGCGGGGCCAGGCAACCTTGGACTGAAGCTCTCAGATCACGAGCCGAAGTGAACCTTTCCTCTCCAATTTGATTCATGTTGGGTATCCATTGCAGTGACAGAAAGCTGACCAACTCAGAAGACATTTGAAACACATAAACCTGTGCAGGAAAAGATGAAGCCTCACAGCTGGCGCTTTTGGGGGCTTCAGCCCGGGCACTGTGAACGGGTGGCAGCCGTGTACCGTCGCGTGAAGCGAATCTACTCCTGCCCACCCACAACCACGGTTTGCAAGGTGCTTCATGCTGCACATCTCATCCTGCAGCTGTGACTGCCATGGCAGGGAGGGCGTCTGTCCCCAAAGGTTCACGTGTTGCAAGTGTGGCCCCAAAGGTGGTGAAGCTGAGAACAGCGGGACCTTTAAGAGGCGGGGCCTGGCGGGAAGTGCAGGTCACTGGTGGCCCCATTCTGGGAAGGCGTTAATGCCGCCCCCGCAGGCACGCACAGCAGGGGCCAGTCACCAGATCGTGGTTTACAAAGTGAGGCCACCCACATGTCTGGCCTCCTTGCTGGCACCTGCTTTCCCTTCCGCGTCTCCAGCACGGTGCAGTGCAGCTGGCGTTCCTCGCTAGGTGCTACAGCTATGCTGTTTGGACCTGGCAGCTACCAGAATTGTGAGACAAATCAACCTCATCTCTTTAGCAACACGTAACAGGGAAAGACACACCCTCCAGCTCATCTGATGCAGAACGACAGGGCCCGGCACGCTTTTTGTAGGGAATTCTTTACTGGGAGTTGGTAGAGAACTAGCCATAAAATATTTCAGGCTTTACCGGTCACACAGTCACTACTACCACTGCTCCATCACGTCAGCATGAAGGCTGCCATCCACCACCCAAGAACCCATGGATGTGGCTGTGTTTCAATAAAACTTTATTCATAAGAACAGATGGTGGCCCCTGTGTAGTTTGCCAACTCCTATGCTATCCTTACAAAATTCTTTCAGGCACACAGGCCGTTTCCTGGGCTCAGCTGCCACTCAACGCCAGCTAATGTGAAAGTAGAGATGTCCATGGCTGCCAGGCCTGCCCCATAAACCTCCTACAGCACCTGCCACACTTGACCTACCCACTGGCTGCAACTGAAGGACTCTGAGCCCCTGGGGAAGACAGGAAACTCCCAGCTGGGGAGGAGAAGCCTGCCTGGGCAGGGCACCCAACCAGGACTCTCCATGCTGGAATGGCTCACGAGCAAGATATAAATGTGTTTAGCCATGAAAGTGTTGATGCTTGATCTAAGTAAGCCTGCCCTGAAATAGTAACTTCTATGTTTACTATTATTTCTAACAATGGCTCCTTACATATGTCCGTATCCTAGTCCCCGGAAGCTGTGAACATGTTACCTAACGGCAGAAGGGCCTCTGCAAGTATGTTGAGAATAAAGACCTCAAAGATGATTCTCCATTCTCTGGATGGGCCCAACCTAATACCTGAGCCCTTAAAAGAATTGCTCCCAGCTAAAGCTGGACCGCAAGAGACATGTGATTTTCGTAGGAAGGTCAGAGCTACGTAACACTACTAGCTTTGAGGGCAGGAAGGGGGACGGCAAGCTGACAGGAATATGAGCAATTTGTAGAAGCTGAGAAAAATCAAAGGAATGGATTCTCCCTTCAGGCCTCCAGAAAGGAACACAGCCCCACTGAGACCTGGATTTTAGCCCAGTGACACCCACATCAAACCTCCACCTACAGATCTGCAAGGTAATAAATCTGTGTCGTTCACAACCCCATGCTTGTGATGACGGGTTACAGCAGCAGCAGAAAGGCACCAGGTCTTTTCCTCATGGATGGCAGAGGCTGAGGGAGACGGGTCCCCTCTGTGTGATTCGGTTATGCAGGACCGTAACTGTCGCCTTGCTGGGAGACGCCTACCTTCTCGGCCTGCACATGGTGTTGACACAGCGTACAGGAGAGACCCACAGGGCAGAAACCTGAGTGAGACCTCGAGCCAACTGCAAGCGAGGCCCCTCAGGTCCTCTGCCCCATGGCCCCCAGCAGCAGAGTCCAGCCAGCAGACTCCTGGAGCTCAGATCCCTCTCTGGAAGAGCCCTTGGATGAGAACTCAGCCCTCACTGACAGGACGGCAGCTCTGTAAGACCCTGGTGCAGAGGACCTTGCTGAGCCGCGCCCATACTCCAGACCCAGACAGAACGAATGAGTGCTGCTCTACACCACTACGTTTATGACCTGTTATGCCACAAGAGAGCTAATCAACACCCCTATCCAGATTTCACGCACTCTGCCACTATAACTGAATACAACAGCCTGGGCAATTTATAAAGAACAGAGCTTTATCTAGCTCATGGTTTTGGAGGCTGGGCTCCCACCCTCAACTCAGGGAGCGCAGCAACAGTAGGCAGAGTCCTGAGAACGTTACACAGACCCTCATTTTTAACCTTCGCAGTGACCCTGTGAAGCTGGTAACATTTGCTCTAGACCAGGGATGCTGGGAGTACTTCATCACTCTTCATTCCTACAGAACCTGAGAAAATATTACCACCTCCATTTCACAGATCAGGAAATGCAGGCAGAAAAACAAGCACCTTGTCCAAAGCAATGCAGCTAGTAAGAGGCAGGGCTGAGATTTTAAACACAGACAGCCTGGCTCCCACTCTAAGACCTCACTGATGAGGGGAGAGAGCCACAAAATCACGAGCTCGCATGTGAAGGACTGAGGGAAGACGGTGAGGAAGGAATGGTTACCCATTTAGAGATGAGAACATCTTCTCACTCTGTGTTAGCAGGAGGGCAAATCTTTTTCTCATTTATCATTCCGCAGCCCCTTTTCCTGAGCCTGTCCTAAAGCCTACAGTAACGACCATAATTTTAGAGTTGTTCTTAGTTCTTCAGCCGGTATCCAGGCTTCCCGACCAGATATATACTTGGGGTGGTAGTGGTACTGGGGATTGAACCCAGGGCCTTGGCACTAAGCTACATCCCCAACCACTTTTCAATTTTTAAACAGGATCCTGCTCAGTGACTACACTGCCCAGGCCAGGCTTAAACTTGTGATCCTCTTGCCTCAGCCTCCCAGAGTGCTGGGACTGCAGGTGTAAGCCATCATGCCCGGTTCTCTTCCCTCTAATCTTACAGCTTGCAGTACTGTGGGTGGATGGAGCTGTGATCATTTCCCACCCTTCTGTTTTGCTGAGGAGAAAAGTAAAGCCAAGAAAAAAAATGAAGTAATGTGCCCTAAGCCCCAGGGTCAATCATGTGTGACCAAAGAGGACTTACATGCCAGTTAATCCTGGTTCCTGGGCCGGGGATGTAGCTCAGTGGCATAAGCCCTTGCCTGGCAAGCCTGAGGTCATGAGTTCGATTCTCAGTACCAAAAAAACCCAACCAAACAAAAAAAATTCCTGGTTCCTTTTGTGTGTGCTCTCTGTGCTTTCAGACAGCATCTACGATGTGAGGTTCTCCCAGTGAGTGACGTTTGAGAGGTATTAAATTGATATTTAGATGTCACTGCAAAATCTCCTCTCCTTCAAGATGGTGCTTTGGAAAGGTGATTAGCTTATGGGGGCAGGATAACTGACTTGCCATTAGAAGGCAGCTTTTGGTTGGAAGAGGCAGGTGGCCCATGGCATGACCCAGAAAATGTACCTTCCTGTCTGGCTTTCTCTTGAACTCTCTGCTCTTTCGACTCCGTTTGCTGGACACTATGCCACAGGCAACCCTCCTCTGCCCTGCCCCTGTGCCATGCCACTTCTGGCCTGGCACCAGCAGACTACAGACTGAAGCCTCTACAAACTGGGCCAACATAACCCTCTCCTTCTTAAGCTGTATTTTATTCCAGCAACAAGGGAAACGTCTAAGAGGCTCAGTAAGCAATCCGTTCACAATTACAGTGTGGCAGTGTCTGCCGAGAGCACTCTGGCTTCAGGGGTGAGGCTGCACCAGGCTTTTGGACCTGCTATTTGTAGGCACTGCTCAGCCCTGGACTCACACTGGAAATCCTTCCCAGTCGGCTCAGATGGAGACTTCAGAGAGCCCTTGTGGTCTGCCAGGATGGTTTCTATTTGCAGGCCCCTAGAAGTCCCAGAAGTACTTTCTGTTGACCTGCAAACAGTCTTCTTGGATGGTTTCATAGTCCAACCTCCCAGCATGGTCTTATCCACTCCAGCCAGAATAAGAGAGCAGGCGGACTCTGCGGCCTTCCTTGGGTGGCCCCTGGTTCATCTCAAGTGTCTTAAGTGAGTCTTATAAAGCAAAATGGAGAAGTTTCATCGTGAGCACCCAGACTTCAGAGGCCTCACATCTTTGTTTCTCATAAATGCAGATTTCTTCAGTGAACGCCTAATACAGCTCACCTTACATAGGAACTTCAGGCCAGTATACAAGTTCCAGTTTTCAAAATTGCTTTCAGATCGCCTCTACGGCTACTTGAAATGGGCCTCATGACTGATCTTAAAACACAGGCCTCCTACAGGGCCTTGCATTGGCAGCACGAAGCAACTTCCCATGGTGAAAAGGCATGCTGGCCTTGACATTCCTATGGCCTGCGTCCAAGTTCCCAGAACCTCTCATAATTTATCTTTTAAACAGCTGCCACATCAAACAGACTTCTGGTGAGGAGCCAGATCTGGATATACAAAACATATTTCCAAAGTGGCCTGTGACCTGCTTTAAAAACCTTGCCTCCTTAGAGCCTGGGGCTTACCAAGCTTACCAGGGTCAGGTGAAACTGGAATTTGCCTTAAGTTTTGCAAATCAATCTTACAGGTTTTGTTTTGTTTTTTAAATAATAAAGAAACAACAAGCTGGGTGTTGTGGAACAGGTCTGTAATCCCAGCACACAGGACGCTAAAGCAGCAGGATCAGTACAGGCTCAAGGCCAGCCTGGGCTACAAAGGGAGTTCATGGCCAGTCTGAACTGTACAGTGAGACCCTGTCTCAAAAAGACAAGAGAGAAAAAAAAAAAAAAAGAAGAAGGAAGAAGAAACAAGAAGTGTTCTATTTGTTGTGTCCATCATCTCTCCAGGAAGCAGCCTGATGTGGGCTCCTGTCAGGTGGCCTTGGGGGATAAGCATCTTGTTGGCTCTCTGAACAATCTTCCAAACACCTAGCCTCAAGTGGGGCTGGAAGAAGCATCCTTCCCGCAACCAACTACTTGAGCTGGTTCTCCAGCCAAGATCAGCCTTCCACATGGCCTCACATCTGGGATTTACAGAACATACCCACATCCTGCTTTGATCAAATAGCTTCTCGATAGTTCCGTCAAGCAGTTTTCCAGAGGGAGGGCCCAGTTTGAGCAGCCTGTGGTCTGCCTTTGTTGACCGGCTTCCTGGAACTTCTCACCGAATAGCCTTTTATAAAAGGTTGTATTAATGAATCTTCCAGAGGACAGCCAAGATGGGAAAAAGTGTTTCAGAGTGTACCACAGACTGCCCTAGATTGGTTTCCTAGAGCTACACAAAGTGGGGTTTATTGTGAGGCGTATAAATGGTCAGGTATAGGTAGATTAACTACATAATTTACCATGTAAACCAGGATACTATTAATATAAATGCCTGGACAAATAAAAACCTGGGGTTATTCCAGGCAAAATGACACCTACAGTCACCCAAGTATAGGCCATATGAGAAAGTCTGAATGGCCCTGTACCCTCACTATAATGTGGTCACCCAGAGCTTGGCAGGTACTGGCCTTAAGAGACCTCTTTTTGGTCAAAGAACCTTTTTGTGTTTTTTGAAGGGGTGAGAGGAGCCTGAGTGGGCCTGTGTCCTGGCTTTGCAAACTGATCTTCAGATGTCACATGCACTGGCCTTATGAGATGTGACAGCTTTCAGGCAAAGGTCAGTTATGAGTTGTATAAGACTTTTCTCAGTAGAACAAGTAAGTCAGCTATACCTAAAAGCTCCTTAAGTAAAGGTGTTTTTATTGGTGTACAGAATGATCATTTTTGGAAATGGGAGTCAGAAAAAGACTGCATGATCTGCGTGGCTTTGTCTTGGCTTTATGAATCGATCCGAGAGCTTCTTGTGGGATGTATTAAGCACAAAGGAGTCAAGTCACAAAAGAGCCCACACAGACCAGTTCTGACTTCCCAATTCACCATCCAGAATCCACTGTGCAACTGAACATTTAGTTTAGAACACAGTCAAAATGGTTCCTGCTTGACGGAGACCACTACAAAGTGGCTCTGAGCAGGATTTAATATTAACCAACTGGCTTTCTGTATTTATTTGTGAGCTATCTGAAGCTTAGGCACCTTGTCTGGGGATGGGCAGTGACTCATAGTTAAGTCAATCTCTGTGAGTCACTGGTCACCCTGAGGTCTGTATTGCCCTGAGAAGCTGTGACGCCTCAAAGGACAAGGCCACAGCTGAGGACGTTTGACTCCAACTCCAGTTCACTACAAGGAGATTGCAGCTGCAGGCTCCACTGTCCTACAATAAATACCAACCTAAAGATAAGGTAGCTTTCCTGATTGACATAATTTACTACTTGGGAAAATTCTCCCAAGGTCCTGCGAGATTCCCGAGTTTTCTTGAGTATCCTCCTCCTTTGTTTGAAAACCTAATAAATATGGGCTGCCCAGAGAAGTCTTTGTCTAAACCCAGAGAATATCGAAGCTGTAAGAGAGTTGGACCCTCCTGGCGCCCTGAAATCATTTCCACTGTCTCATTTATTTAAGCCTTCACCGTCCACTGGCTTGGGAGATTGCGGGCCTGATGAGCCCGTAATAACTAAGGGTTATTTAACCCTATAGCTGCTGGCTGTAAGATCTAGCCTTCTAGGTAGCTCCTGTATAGTCACGGTCTTATTTCTTAACCATCTGCCAGTGTAGTGTTTGGTAAGGCTTCGGGAGAACCCACCAGTCACCAGAGTGACACAAGCTGGCCACACACTGCAGAAAACCTTCCCTGGAACCTTCCAGGTCACCTCTGCTGCTGGGAACAAAGCTGAGTAACGTCTTCAGTTTCACCGCGGGAGAATTCCACATACACAGGGACTCTGTAATCAACTCTGCATCGAGTTTGGACAATGCGGGCTACTTTGCCCACGGTGTGGCCCCGCACCTGACCACCTCCTGCCACCTAATATTTTTTGGGCACGTAGACTCACGCTGCCGAATCCTGCGCACGGCAAAGCAACACCGGTGCTCAGAGCGACTTCCCGGCCGGGTGCGCGCCTCCCACACCAACCCTCCCCGACCACCTCTCCAAGCCTGACAGCCCTCCCCTCCCCGACGTCTTCCCGGCGCTGCACTGCCGCTGCTCCTACGCGAGACCCAATGGAACAATCCTTTCCAGTGGGCCACAAACGCCGCTCGCACCCAGGGGGCTGAGAGCTGGACCCTGCAGCCACCGACAACCATGGAAGTACCGATTGCGCAAGCGCAATGGGATTTCACGGCGGCGCCCCCCTAGGACAGCGCAGGCGCAAACCAGCTCGGGAGCAGGGGGCGGGACGAGCGACTGGCCTCGCGCACGCGCAGAACGACTACCGCGCGACGCACGCTGTGCACGCCGGCGGTTTCCCCAATCCGCCCACAACGCAGAAAGCTGCGGGCGACCACGTAACCGGCGCTCTCAGCCGCGGGTATTTCCAGGGCGCATGCGCGAAGCCGTCCTTTCCTACCCAGCTCTAGCGTAACTATGGCACAGTAGTGCTCTTGGCCCATCCACTGTATTTCTAAGGAACCAGAGCGGTCTGTGTTGCCGAATAGCTCAAACTAACCTCGCTAGAGTTTGGACGATGTCACTGTTGGCCGGGGGCTGGCGACACCTTGTTCCGCTTGGTCCCAGCACTGCCTGCTGTTCTCCCAGGCTTGCGCGAGTAGCATCGATCACTCGCAGCTCATCTGATCGCGACTGGTTGCCTAGAGGAGCGCCGAGCGACCGATGTCTTGGCCCCGCCCCTTCCTTTCAATGTCTGAGATGGTTTTTGTTTTTGAGTTTTGGTCTGCAAAGATAATTAACTTCCTATAAAAGAAGTTCATACCCACTATTTTACCTAACTCCAACTTCCACGTAACACTGTAGTTCTCCCTATTTTGCAAAGAGGTAAACAGGCTGAGTGAAATATTGTGTCTTATTTCTGAATTAGGAAACGTAGACTTGCCCAAATCCAACAGTTCAATGTACTTTAGGTACTAAGTTAGCACCCTTCCTTCCAAAAGGCCCTTTAAAAAACATCAAAATCCACTGGGAGGCTGAAGCCAGAGGATCACAAGTTTGAGCCCAGTCTGGGCAACTTGGCAAGACTCTGTCTCAAAAAACAAAACAAGAGATGGGAATGTAGCTCAGGAGAAAGGCCTCGGGTTCAATCTTCGGGGAGGGGAGGGGGGAGCACAAAAATCATGGCTAATTGATAACAGTTGTTAGGCAGTTAGACATTAGCTGGCCCAATAGACAAAGGGTGGTCCAAAATATACTTTGCCAGTTGTAGTTGAGAAACAAAGACCTAATATCATTTGTAAGGTCTCAGACCTAAAGCAGTCCCACAGAGAACAATGATATTTTAAGATTACATATTGCACACGTTCCTTCCCGTATCTGGCCACTTAGTTATCTGTTTCCAAAGCCAGGTTGTCTGTGTGCCATGGCCCACACCAAGTGGTATCAAAAAGGGGAGCATTCTTTAACGACTTTCCCTCCTGGGGCCGAGACCTGATTTAGATTCTTAAAGGAATTAAGGACCCGGAGGTAATACTGACAGCCTGAAAGGAGCAAGGAAGACATTTTTGAGATTCATCATTCCAGAGTGCCTCCTAAGAGAAATGCCTATAAGCATACAGAGCATGTAAATAAAACTATGATAATCATCATAGTTCCCTGAATCCCAAGAATAACTTCTGTGTGCATAAAAATGTTCTTAGACTCACACTCAGGACAGATGTCTCTGTGATATTGCCTACCTGCTCTGTTGAAGGCTTAAACCTATGTCTTTTTAAAAATAAATTCTAGCTATACTTTTGCATGGCTACCACATGTCACGGCTGAGCTTTTCCATCAAAGGAGGCACAAGGAACCCAGGACCAAGGAGTGAGGGGTTGGTTCCTTGCTCTATCAGGACCTGGTTATGATAATGATCATTCTCAATTAAGGAGAGAGAAAGTAAAGCAGGGAATAAAGTTTTTCATAACCCACCAAGTTCACTGAGGTGGTGGTGACGGGGCCCAGCAGTCGCAGGTCCACAGTCCACCTGCTTTTGTTCCCTCCACTGTGTGGTTGACAATGTTGAATTTTACCTGACCACTGGGCCCCTGGAAAACAGTGAAAGTAAGAGGAATTCCCCTCACCCTTTTTTAAAAATCCAGAATACAGCTTACCACACACAAAAAAACATCCTTCCCTATAAGACTGGGGTAAGACTCAGGGACAGGCACCCCCTTGTTTACCGATGACAAAGCCAGAAGAGACTCCCAATTTTCCATGCTTTGTCTCACAAGTGATCAGCTGAACTGCTTGTCCCCACTGAGCAGAACAAAACGCTTATGAACCAAACTTTGGATAAACTTCTCTCCTTCCTGTAGACCCCCGAACACTGGCCTACCCTCAGCCCCTTCAGAGTGCACAGCCCCTTTGGAGAACAGCCTGGCCTCAGGGTAAATTGTCTGTGACCTTCTGCCCCACCCTGCCACCCTTGCAGGCCACTTCCTGCTTGTGTTAACCACGCTTTTCCCTTTCTACAGAAGAGAAGCTCTTTGCCTTCCCTCATAGTCTTTGCAGATCTAGTGGACACAGATCCTCTCTCTTGCACTAATGTTCCTTGTCTGAAGCTAGAGCCCCTTTATTCCTTGTGACAATCCTTTCAGCTAAAAATCTTTCTTTACTTAGTCTGAATTTGATTTTTATTTGATAGTGGATGGGCAATGACTGTAGTAGGTGGGCACTAAGCCTCTAGTTTTCCAGACCCTTAAATGAGGGTCAAAGGAAATTCGGACCCAAGCCCCCTGACTCCAGAAGCCCTCCTCCCAGTGATCAGGGATGGAATACTGGCTGTTAGCTGGGAGCAGGGAGTGTTGCAGCCAGACAGAAAAATATTCGGTTTGCCAGCTTGATTTTTTTTTTTTAGTGTTGAGGAGTGAACCCAGGACCTCACATATACTAGACAGCTCTACCACGGAGCTACAACCCCAGCCTGGTTTGTGTTTTTCCAGACTGGCTTGTTGAGCTAAATTACAGGCCAACATGAAATGTCTTCTTAAAAGGAGCACAATTTGTCACCATGGGATTTCACTTCCTGTAGTCTCCTTTCCAGCCCCTCCCCTGCCCTTATTTCCAGCGGCTTTGGAAGTGGCCATTAAGCTGACAGACCCATCTGAGTGTTGTGGAAAGCACCGAGTGGACAAAAGCCATCATTCATGCCCATATGGGCGATTTTTCTCCACTAGATCAGAAGTCTGTAATTTGAATATGCCCAAATGTGCGGGGAACATTTGTGGCTCAATTATCAAATTTATTTAAAATATACACGGACACACAAAACTCCAGACTTGAAAACAACATTTAGCCTGGCCGTAGAAGAGACATTTAATTTACCTCAGCTGCATAAAGAGGAGAGTGATAACCGCTCCACATCCTGGCCCTTTTACGGATGCTACCAGGATCTTCTGTTGTGTGATGCAGAATCATCCGCTTACCAGTTTGGGCCTTCATTCCACCTTCAGCATGTGCTTCCCACTGCCTCAGCAAGGACCTAGGGAGCCTGGGACGACCTCGTGTGAAGTCTCCTGTGTGAAGGCTCAGAGCAAAAGACAAGGCAGCTCCTCTACAGCGCAAACGAAAGGTCCTGACAGAAGGTCCTGCTGACTAGAACTGCTACAAAGTCTCTGACCCTCACTGTCTTCTTCCATGAAGTGGGTATGTTGACCTACTTCCCAAGGAGGTAGTGAGGACCAGGTAAGGCAGCTGAGCGTCCCAAGTCACATGCCTTGTTCTGCTTGTCCCAGAACCCATGTTTTCCACATTTTCAGAAATCCCGCCCTAGAGCATGCAGACGTCTGGAAAGGTGGCATTGGGTGACCTGAGGTCAGGCCTGTAGTAGGTGGGCACTAAGTCTCGCATCCAGTGCTGGGTGCTAGTTCCCACTGTTGTAAGGCCTTCTGCTTTAGTACTACTCTGGTTTGCACACAGAGCCACCACCCAGGCCATAGGCAGCACAAAGCTCCTGGCGAAGACAGGCTCAACCATTAGCTCCTCTATACATGAAATGATTCTGCCTTCCCACTTGCTGTGCCCCAGAAGACACTATCTTAATCCCTTGAAAGGCTAAGGGTCTTGTTTGATGTCTCTCCTCTCCACCTTACCCTGTAATTGAATCTGTCGCTCTGTACTCATTCATTCAACAAATATGCCAAGAGCTATTCTTGGTAGAGAGTAATAAGACTAATAAGGTGAATCTTTTCTTTCTTCTCATTCATTAACTCATTTGACTTATTTATTTATTTTTTGAGGCAGGGTCTTGCCGTATCGTTCAGGTTGTTCTTGAATTCACTATTAACCCAGCTTGGCCTCAAACTTGTGGTAAGCCTCTTTCCTCGACCTCCCCAGTGCTGGGATTATAGGCATGTGCCACAGTGCCTGGCCATTTGTGTTGTACATGTGTATTGAGCATGAATTTCATGTCAGCAGTTAGGTTAAGTGCTTGTATCAGTTATCAGTGACCACAAATAATGCTGCATAATACACCATCCCAAAATTCAACACTTCAGAGCAGTGAATCTACAGATCACCTGGGTGGTCAGGCTCGGGTAATCTTGGTGGGGCTTGCTCACTGAGACTGACCTCATTCCCATGTCTGGCGGTCAACTTGGCTGCTAGGGTGAAGAGACAACTAGACTACAAGTCAGTTATCACCCAACGTGCTAGCTTGGTCGTATTTATGTGACAGTGTCAGAATTTCAGAGAGGGAACAGGAGCTGCCAGCTTACCTCTTAAGCGACACAAGTCACTTCTATTGGCTAGATCAAGTCACACAATGTGATAACTTTCCAGTACTAAGTAACTGAAAGAAATCAGCTAATAAAGACAAAAAGTTTATTTTGGCTTTTGTTTCAGCCATTCCAGTTAGTGATTGTCTTAGTTACTTTTCTTGTTGCTGAGACAAAATACCACGACATTTCAAACATTTTCAACCACAAAATTTCACATTTCAACTAGTCAAATATGTATTCACACTGCTGTGTTCTTTGTAATATGAATCAAGGAGGTCTGCATTCCCTGTGTCTGTATCAGTTGATTCTTCCTTCATCCATTGTCCCAGGAACTTTGGCTCACATGGCCGGCATCAAAGTCACCATCATCATCATCATTATCAACATCATCACACACCCACACCACTCTTCCGCTATGAAAGCAGGTATTTTACCGTAATGGCTCATCTTCATCATCCATGCATGAGTAATCTGATCATTCACTTCTGAACCCCTCCAAAACTTGCAAATCTGGTTTTTCACGTGCCATTTTACTGGATTGGGGTACTTCTGCCAGAAAAATGAACAACAATTTTTAAAAAAACATAGCCTGGAGTGGTGTGGGTCTATTGGACCCTCTGTGATACTTGGGTAAGTATACACAAAACCAGTTAGATGGAGCGTAAGGTGGGTAAAAATCCCATTATGCCACTTTTGTACATGTGTGCACACCTTGCTGTTGGTCATACCAAGTGGGTAAACACATAGATTGCTTCCTGTATCCCTCAGGGAAAGTCACTGAGATGCACAGCCAGGTACTATTATGCTAAAGTAGAAATTTACAGTAGGAAAGTAAGGGGTAGGTCCTCTAGACCCAGTGTTAAGTTCCTAGTTAAAAGGAGGAGAGGTTTTTTTGGCTTGTAGTTTGTGGAGGTTTTAGTCCATAATCAACT